TCCTTTTGCTATCTTGATACAGTTGGATCTGCTCAGCACTGTGATATGAATGCAGCAGTGCATCCTTGTGAATGTCTGCTTTTCTCCACTCATTTATTTACACATTTAAATACCTGCTAATGCCTAAATGCATACTCTATATGGAATGAATCTATGACGTGTGTTTGTGTTGTACAGGCAAAGTCAGACCAGTAGCTGGTCCACTGATGGCTGCGCGGTGATCTTTGTCGGCTCTGGCGTGACTTCTTGTCTTTGTAACCACACCACCAACTTTGCAGTGCTGATGAATTACATGGAGTTCAAGGTAATTCAAGATATTTTGTGCTGTGGTGCAGTGAGTTCAATCACACACTCTGAATTTAGTTTTGCTCAGGAGGAATCATATACTGTGCTGTGTAACGGCATGAGTGATGTGAATTTTTTGGGCTTTATGTTTTAATATTAATCGTATTTGGTAGTTGTGTTTTTCTTTCTTGCCACAACAAATTTAAAGTAATACCATTTCATTTATATCACTTCTAAATCCAGGTTGTAATTTTTTAATCTGCAGTTGTGTAGCTGTGCAGTGCACTGTAACAACCAGCAGGTGTCACTCCCAGTGTGCCTATCATGTAAAACTGTCCTTTCTGTCCACCAACATACATACAAGATGATGAAAGAGTTTCAGAAAATTATTTTTGGCCTTTACACAACACAAATTCTGCTAAGACGTAGATATTTGCTGTAGGAGAGCAAACCTGAGATTTGTCAGTTGACTGGCTGCTTGTTAACCCTCGGCCGTTCTGGCAACATTCACCTCTCTTTTTCTCTTTCTCCCTCCCACTCCCACCTTTCCCCTCTGTCCCAGTGGAGTCCTGAGGAAGAGCTTATTTTGACCAAGCTGACATTCATTGGCTCTGGCGCATCTCTATGTGCACTGGTTGTGACCTTGATGCTTTTCACAGTGCTGGAGTGAGTAGCTGATTTTCCTGTCCTGCTTATATATGATGCGAACACAGCTGCCTGTTTTGTGTTTGTTTGAGCCAATAAACACACCATCTTTACAAAGGTTCCATATTACTGTTATAGTCGTTTTATGCACTTAGTGTCAAGTGCAGCCACTGGAGTACAGAAGTGTACGTAAACAGAAGACGGTGTGTGACGTCATGACAGCCAAACGTGAACTATATTACAAATGATAATGAGAACACACGTCAGTAACGAGTTTATCCACCATTTCCAAAGTGCCACACATCTGTGTTGCAGAGCGTTTATAAGGTCATCAATTCTGGCTTGTGGAAGGTTGTCCAACTCCTCCTGACGGTCTTGGCGAGGTTCATGGACATTTTTGGAAACGGGCCACGTTGTTGCACTCGTCCATCCAGAGCTGTTTCTTAGATGACAAATAGTGGGTTTGCCTGGCTACGGCCCTAAGTGACATGTCAGCATCTAGCATGCCAATAGCCCATTCCCGCATTTCTCTTGTCATTTGTGGCTTTTAGATAAAACTGCATTTTAGGTTGGCCTTTTTTAGTTACTGGTCAAAGGGGTGTCTGTGTACTAGTCACATTATCTGATCATTTAAAGCCACACCTGACTTGGGTGCAGATTAAATCAGTGGTCCACATTTTGTCACTAGTTGAACAGCTCAAAAAGATTTTGTGCAACATTGGCTAATTTGGGTATTTAAAAAAAAATAAAAAATCTGATTATTACTGTTGCAAGAACAATTGCTCTTTGTTTTCAACAGATTTTATTCCTGTTCACATTGTATTTGTCTATATTAGTAATCATTTTCTTATCATACTCATAACATTTAGGCATACTTGCATATTTTTTTCTAATGTATATAACCTGAAATGGACCACGACCACTAATTTGGACAATGTCATGTTACAACAAAGTCAACATTCCACTGTGGCAAACGCTGAGATAACTTACATGCAGTACAGCTGCTGGTCCTCTGTTCCTAAGGCTTCCATGAGTATTGACTAGTGCTAATCCAATAATTACTGTTGTCTACATGTGAGTCCACTCCGAAGGTTTATGGCAGCATTCTGCAACCGTTAATTAACATTACGGTCACTGAGGGATCACAATCAGCTGGAGACGAGCTGCCTTGGCAATTTATGGCTCTCCTAAAAACAGAGAGCGCAGCCATGCATTTCACACACTGGTGTATGATGTACATGCATTTGTTTACTTAAATTCACACACACAACCTCAGACAAAGCAGGCGCCCACAGCAGAGGACACTTGCATTCATACTGGGAAACGATGGTGGTCTCAATTAGTGATACAGAAATGAAATAAGCCTAAAACCCATTGAGAGGTAATGAGAGGCTCTTCAGTTAATTTTCCTCTCAACCAGTTTCAGCTCGCTCTTTTTTTTATGTTATGTAAACAGTCTGAAATAGGTACATTCAACTTATCGATGCTATTTAAAGACAGTACGAGCGTTTGTGGCATAATGACCGGCACAAGCAGTGCTCCTGCTGGTATTCTGTTGGTACCACTGCTGACCAGTGCAAGGGAGAGGTACAAATAAGCAGCAGGTTCAATCCGATGAGCAAGCAGAATGCACGTTGTTAACATTCTGTTTTAGTCTTAGACGTTGTGATGGATATGTTTCAGTACCATGCCAGTTTGTGAGATAAGGTTGTTCTGCTGCTAATCTGATTGTTTTGTTAAGAAGAGCCGACCAAATACGTCATAGCAAATACATAGCAACACAGCAGATGCAAAAAAGTAATTTAAAAAAGCACTTCTCAACCAGCAGATGCATTTAAGTTAGTATCCAAAACGACTAAAAAAAATTGTGTACCTAAGGCAGGCAAAGTATCTGTTGTCCTGTCGGTTTATACTAATTGTAAAGCTTCCGTGTCACGTAATCCCTGCACCCACCTGGAGGTACCGAGGCAGATGTGTTGATCAATTTGTAGCTTCTGATTTTAGAAGTGCTGCACTAGAGAGCAGTGACGTTATCACCAGCATTCACCGCATGTACCTTCATTAAATAACATTCAAACCACCTTGCTACAGAAGAACTCCTTCACTCTGCAATGTTGCACATACCAAAATAGGCGCACTTGAAGACACCCACACAGTACATGCTCCCAAGACCTACCAGTTTTGAGCAATTAAAATTAAATAGAGCCACATTAGTATTAAAACATGCTGGGAAAACAAATTTAAACAGTTTTTCAAATTTCAAACTTATAAGAATACATGAAAACCACACACAAAGTTGGAATGATGCTGCATACCAATCGCTAAAATACACATTTTTAGAACCAGTAAAATCCATAAACTGGCCAAAAGCTATTCAAAGTCAGTTCAGTTTTATATCCTTGAATATTACTCATTTTAGTCGTTCTAATCTGGAAATATGGATTGATCATCCAATCTGCCAGTCCAACACTGGTAGAAAATCAAATATCTTGAAAACACAGCTGAATATTGGACTTGAGTCAGACCTCACATGCAAGTGGACTCTGGTTGGACTCTTTCTCAAGAAGATCCATCCACCCATTATCTATACACCGCTTAATCCTCACTAGGGTCGCAGGGGGGCTGGAGTCTGTCCCAGCTGACTCAGGGTGAAGGCAGGCACATTCACACCTACGGACAATTTAGAATCACCAATTAACCTCAACATGTTTTTGGACCTTGTGGGAGGAAGCCGGAGAGCCCGGAGAGAACCCACGCTGCACGGGGAGAACATGCAAACTCCACGCAGAAAGATCCCAGGTGTCCTCACAGGAATGCAAACCAGCGACCTTCTAGCTGCGAGGCAACGGTGCTAACCACCGCTCCACCTTGCAGCCCTCTTTCTCAATAAGATTCAGAAGAGAATCCCAAAATATTTAAAAACTGCTCTGCTGAACGTAGCTTTGTTTATTGGTCCTGTGCCAAATTGGCATGAATAATTAATGAAATAACCGGCATACACGCCACATCTCCATAACCTAATGCGCAATTTGAGTTGCAGCTGCTGGCACCAGAATAGAATGAAGCAAAGTCTAAATTTAGATGAGAGAAATTAGCCTGTAATTGTAAAAGTAATTAGTGTGTCCACATAAACAAGTAGCTCAGTAGTTTCCTCACTTCATTTTCAGCATATCGCCTGCTGTCCTGTAACTGTGTAAATGTTTCTGAAGTGCAAATTGTTGTATGTGGTAGTTTCAGCTTTTAGTTATTAAAAGACGTCTGTATCTAATATAAGATCATTATTAGCCCTTAAATTCATACATTGGATATGCAATTCATTTTTTTTTCTTCATCAAGCTCTCAGGTCTGTGATATTTTTCTAATTTTGCCAATGACCCAAGATGTGCAAAAACAAACTATTAGCAAACAGTGGAGCCGTGTGTGAATTGCCCTCTATCCAGATAATCACTGGGATTAGTAATTGCTGTGCTGACTAAACTGGGTTTGGCAGGCGCCGCGCTGTGAGAAATAGCAGGAGGTTGTGTGCAAGTCAGTATAAACATGACATTCAAAAAACAAAATCTGACATCATAAATCATCGTTAAATTTCATAAATGACAGAAATGTATTTGTGTGTTTTTATTGGGAATCTTGTGCTCTGAAAAGTTATCATCAGCAACACCTAAATGTATGGCTTAATGTGCTTTACGTAAGTGCCACTAGTGACCCAATAGAAATGTAATGGTGTCAGGAGAAACCACCCGTGTATTTATGTTTTTGTTTGTTTACACTCTCCACATTGTATTAAACAAGATGTAGGAGAAGTGGCTCCCTACTGTGAAACAAATTTGTGAAAAAAAGTCTAATACCTAATCAGCTATTTTTGTATAAACTGACGGCTGTAAACACTTTGGAACTGCAGAATCATACTTGTCATCTCTGTGTTATGCATCCTGTAAACACAAGTAGAACACTGAGCTTCATAATCCTCAGGATGTGAACTGACTACTGAAAGTGAGGCTGAACCTTGCTAGTTGAACTGAATACATCAGAATAAGTCTGTGTCTGATTTCTGTTTTCGGGCTAAAGATAGCATATTATAACTCATTTTTGTTTTCCATTTTCATTCATCATTCAGTGTGTTTTTTTTTGTCTTCACCGTGAGTTCACAATGATTTACTAGGCTTTACTATTGACAATCGTCACTTCGAAGCATATCTCATTTATGATGTTATCCCTCTTTGTATCCACAGTATCCCCAAATCTGACAGGACGTCCATCCATAAGAATCTGTTCATCGCTCTTATCTGTGCTCAGGTGATTCTGCTCTGCAGCGGATCGGCCATTCACAACAAGGTGCACGCAGTGAACACTGGTTTTATTTCATTTATTCATTTATTTCATTTTTTCATACTGGGGATGAAAGTGAATGATGAATTCTGAGTTCCCAACTATGTCTGTTGTAATTTGCTGACTGTTGATGTTTGTTGTGTGAAGAGCAGATTGGGAATTTGAAGTTGCATATGGCATTATCTTAATTGTAGAAAGTTGCATTTTGTTGTAGACAAATTTTATGTTTTTATCTCTTTTATTTTCACTCTAAATTTAATAATACAAAATTAAGATTTGAAAAAAAATTGGCTGAAAATATTCCCTATCTCTAACCAACGGCATATAAAAACTCAAGTTAGCATGACTAGTAAATGTCAAATGGGCGTCTAAATGTAAAAACACTCTCAATGCTTTTAATAGCTGCCAATCCTGGCAAAGCTAATGCTTTTGGCTTTGAATGTGACATTAAGTGTCCACCACTGCTGTGTCTAACAGCCAGAACACATAGCTCAGTCTCTTAGTGGTCACTCAGTGGCCTGTAGTTTGTTTGACCCCAGGTCATGTCAAATTTAGCTTTACCCCTGTGGGCATGTGGGTGCTTGGTAGAATTTTGCCAAATGGTTTCATATGTATAAAGAGTCTCACTGACCATTACAAAGGTAGTTTTTTCAGTTATTAACAAGGTTTGGTTTGGTTTGTACCAATCCAGAACGATTAATTAGTTAGGAGAGCTTCAGGGCTTCAGTATTTTGTGTTTGTATTGTGGATGTGCTATACATTTCTAACATAATCATGAGTTTCTACATTATGCATGCAGGTTTTGGAGATGGATATTTTCCTAACATAGACTACATTTACTCAAAGTCTGTGTACTGTGTAGTTATTCTCATTTATATAGTTCAATATACTATAGTTGTTTAGCTTTTTCTAATGTTTACTGTGATGTCATGTTACTTAGAAGCTTCACTTTGTAGTGCAAAATGTAACCTGTGTTGCTCTGTTGTGTTTGAAGGTGGCTTGTACACTTGTAGCAGCACTGCTCCATCTCTTCTTCATGGCAGCATTTAGCTGGATGCTGGTGGAGGGTCTTCTGCTCTGGAGCAAGGTGGTCGCCGTCAACCTAAACGAGGACCAGCATATGAAGTATTACTATCTCATCGGCTGGGGTACAGTGGCTCGACAAAGCCAAATCATTGTTTTCACACATGTTCATTGGCTGTGCAGGTTTTTGTTGAGATGGATATTGATTCTTAATTTCAGAGGACATGTTCAAATCTGTTATGGAGACCATCAGATTAGGTTTTTACATTTAATTGTGAATTTACATAATCATGATGATGTAAAACTTCTTTACTCAGAGAATACTTGATTTTTGCTTATGTGTGCTACTATTTCATCACAATAGTCTGTTACTGATCGCCCCATTTCCCTCCCCTTTCTTCTTTTTGCTCCCTTTGCTTTGTTTTCCTGTTTGTGTATTTCATGCTGGTTTCATTCTGTTCCTTTACCTCCTCCTCCTCCTCTGTTTTTCTTTTTTCCCCCCTCATCCAACCAGGTCTGCCGGTGCTGATAGTCACGATCACACTAGCATCGGCTTCAGGCAAATACTCAGCTGACGGCTACTGTTGGCTCAGTGTCCAGAATGGCGTTATCTGGGGCTTCGCTGGGCCTGTCATCTTCATCATTATGGTCAGCAAATTAAATGTAGTCTATTCAAACTGAAATTGTAAAAACAAAATATTGGGAACTTTCAGCCACTGTGTAACTGTAGTTCTTGCCTGTTGAGCTCCACTTTTGGTTTGACTGTGAAAGCTAGTATAAAAGCCTGCAAAAGCAGAAAATGGTGTGTTTCCTATTAATGTTGGCAAACATGTTTTGCACAGCAGCTGCTTAGTACATGTGTCTATATTTTATTCATTTTACTTTCCTTTTCTCTCTTTAAAAATCTACCACAGACATATGAGCCTGCACTTCTTTCCTGTCTTCCTTTTTTGTTGTCTGTTCTGATTTTTCTTTTCTTTATTACTTCTTCTCCATATACCTCTTTTCTGTTCATCTCTCTGCCTCTTCTCATTTCTGTACTCTCTTCTATTTAATTTTACAGGTGAATATTTTGATACTGACCAGAGTGGTGGTCATCACCATCTCCACAGCCAAGAGAAGGTCCATCATGTTGGCCATGGGCACCAGTCCTGTGGAGCAAGCCTACGAGCAAATCAGGTACTAACCACAAGGAGGCACCATTTGTCCTCCTTTTAAAATGTATTCACCTGCGCCACAGGCCTTGGAACAGATGAGCAGCAGTCACTGGGCGATTTTTAGATTGAATTTGTCATTTTAAAACAGCAATCTGTGTTCATCAGCCAGGATAGGCATACATTTAGAGTGGATTGCATTAGTGATGTTCATATTAAGTGCTTTAAGCTTCAGCCACTTGTGATGTTTTAGACACTGTGTTTTAATATCGTTCACTGGCGACAAATTTAAATCTTAAACCTAAATCTTATTGGCATGCCATTTTCATTTACTTCCAGTTTCCTAACAATGTATTATATTAGAGATAAAGCATATCTATCATACTGTCAGTTATACAAGCAGTAGTTGCAGCAGTTAGAACCGTTATTATCGAGATTTGTATTATCAGTGTTAAATAACATGTCAGTAGCTGCCGTCCTGAATTATGAATTAGCAGCACTCTTGCCGTCCTTCATTAGTAATCGTATCGATCAAACCCTAATTCAATGATCTCTAGAATATTTGGATGGAAGAATTTCTCTTGGAAGGGTGAGAAGCAGGACTGTATAGACTTTCTGAAATGATTTTTGTACGATATTCTTAAAAAAAAAGAAGTATATATGATAAATATGTCTAATATCTGTAGCGCCATCTGATCCCCATAAATCCATGCAATGCATTTGTTTACTTATTTTATTTGTTGTATTTGTGTCTGTAAAGTAATTGAGAATAATGATGATATGAAGTACAGAGTGTACCTGCAAAACGTTTGACAAATTGTTATTTTTCAAACAGACTTTTGTAGATTTTTCAGGTTCCTAATGAAAAAGTAAATGTTAGTAATTTTTAAATAGTGTACTATTGCTAAATGTGCTTTTTTATGTTGCTTGTTTTTGAGACTCTTGCACTGTGATGTTCATGCAATATCTTAAATCCTGCCACTGATGTCTTTGTCTTTTGCCTCCTTTTTTGGCACTGTCTCTACACCGTGAAATTGTTTTGCATGTGATCGAGTAGATTTCCCCCCAGCAAGCTTCTATGTGATCCTATCAGCAAAAATTATGTCAGTGGATATGTTTTTTCACTAACTCAGCCCACTGGGGCTCACAGTAGGTGCTCTGTGAAGGTTTTCAAAGCAAGCCTTGAACCATTTGGCACCCCTGGGTGGCAGCCGTCTCGGAAACTCAAACACATTCCTCCGCTGAATAAACTAGAGTTCGTCGCACGCCATGTCACACACACACACACACACACACACACACACACGCACGCACGAACACACAGACAGCTGTTGCGGTTTGGCGGTCACCTGAGCGGGAAGCTAATTCCACTCTAAACAGAATTAAGGCGGATTTAAGGTGGGAAGTTGTCACCCCATGAGCCTTCCTAGCCGCACAGCGTTGTATATGGAACAACCACGCTGCCAGAGCTGCTCAGTTTTGTCCAAAAAGAACTGAAAATTTGAGAAAACCCGAAATTGAACTTACGATCATCATTGAGGAAAAAAGAAGCTCTATGGAATACTAAAATTAATTTTTCCCTGGTGTGTTGTAAGTTCGCTAGGTCATGCGGTCAAGTAGTTCAGAGTCCCTACAGGGTGTGTGTCTGTTTGCCAATATTCATCTGTATATGTTTTGTGTGATTATTTTTTGTGTGTATATGAACACAGGGCTGCAGTGAAAGCAGTGTTGGTGTTGCTGCCCATCCTCGGACTGACATGGCTGTGTGGTGTTTTGGTCCCTTTCTCCATTGTCATGGCCTACATCTTCATCCTCCTCAACTCCCTACAGGTACACACATTTACACACACACACACACACACACACACACACACACCACAGTTGTTGCCATCACTGAGGGAAAATCTCGACGCTTAAGCAATTTGCACATTTTTACAAAACAGAAGAATTGCATGTTCCGGTAATGATGAGGTTTTATGCTTAGGTTTTATGAAAAACTTTGGGTTCAAACCTCTGTAAATACTGAAAAACAAGCATAATGGTTCTGTGAAGGCAGCACAGTGACACATGAGAGAGCTTGTCATGTGAAAGAGTGTCTTTTTAGTCCCACAAGGTCTTTACTCGACCCAGAGGGATGCAGCAATCAATAGGGGGGAAAAAAAAAAAAAAAACAATTAAAGGATGTAGATAATTTCGCAAACTGAAGTCTGAATGTGAACATAAGGCGGGCCTCACTACTGATACAGAAGAAGAGATGTGGGATTAGAGCTTGTCATTTAATCTTTCTTTTCGTACAAGGTCTAGCATCTGAGCTCTGCCACCTACACATTCTGTAAAGATCTATCTGTTGTCAGAAAGGAAGACGCATAGCATGAAAAAATGCCAAACTTGCGAGGAAGTCAAAAAAAAAAGTTTATCGACTTCAAACAGCCTTTTTCCATCAATGAGAACGAGAAAGGTTTTCCATTATACATTGTAATTCTGCCCTTCTCACGTGGTGAGGGTACACAGACTGTCAAGGTTTTTATTTGTCAGTGACAAGGCTGAGGCAAAAAGGGGAAAAAGAGCCTCGGTCTGGCTTGTGTTAAGCAGGTGCTTCATTTTAACAAGGAAAGTGGATTTGTATTGTTTGTTTGATTATTTCTGCTTTATGTATTCAGAGGTCAGCATTATTGTTGTTTGTGACTTATCAACGTTGGTTTTACGCTTTTAGTACTCAAATTCAGTGGCTCGTTTTGTCTCAAACTTTGAGAAAGGAACACTTTTTTATAGGCGCTGTGTAAAATATGTGTAGAACAAATTCTGCTGTGAGTGGCAAACCTGTGGTCACCACAGATCCGTTTAAAAACTGGTCAAAATGTACAATGTAAAATGTTTTTTTTTTTTTTTTTACACGGAAAAAGAGTAATAGCCATGTAGCATTATTTTCCACTGCAGTGGTCACGGAGAAGGCATGGATGAAATCATGTAATTCTCTGGCTGCAGCCTCACATTACCCAACTTCCCCACCATCTCTAGATCTGCCGCTGCAATTTGTAGTCGTCTTTTAATCAGCTGTATCTTTAATTGAGCTGTATATTTAACGAGAAAATCAATAGAGGTTTTAGCCGCAGTCTGATCATTAAGTTAGACCCCTTGGTTACCATAAATAGTTTCTGTTTCTCCCTCATATCTAATTATGTTTTTTTTTTTTTTTTTCTATGTCGACAGTAATTAATACAGAAGGTTTTTCAAAGCTCGTACAATGCGACTGCCCTGCTCGTTGCTGTGTTAATGCATGATATGGATTTTCTATTCTGTTGCATGCACCCGTCTGTTTACCTGCTTCCATTCAGCTTTCCACTAGTCAGTTTGCAGTCTTTGTGTTTGTCTGCCTACCGCTCTTGGTCTATTGCATTTCTGTCTTTCTGGCAGTGTATTAAGTAAGTAGTAATGGCTATATTGCAACAATGCAAAATGCAGGCAATTTGAGTAATTATTATCTCTTATCCTGTCAATCACTTACCTTTTGTTTTTCCCTTTAAATAGGCAGTGTCAATCACAGTGACAGACAATGACACGAGCAAATGCAGATGATAAAAACCACAGGATTTCTATTTTAAAACCAAACAATAAGCTAAAATGAAGCAAGAGCAAGAGGTAGTTTAAGCACTACACATCAACTGACTATGCCTGCGAAATTCCTAATAGGTATCTGATCATGACAAATGATTGTTTCAGCCGGTCTCAGCCCGCTTAATAGTAATGATCGCAATCTCCATTCTGTAAAATCATGCGTAGTGCTCATAGAAGTAACTTTTTAAAGAAGAAGAAGGAAAACCCCTCATCATTTAACATGTCTTTTTTTTTTTGGATGTGTTGTGCGTTGGTGTAGCTGTGTGTTAATTTGCGTTGATGGGATTTCAAGTTAACTATAGCAGACCCCTTTTAATAACCAGCTGCTCGATTATAATAGAGCTACATAGTGTGTCTTTCAAAAGCCTCAGCGGTTCAGGACACAGTAGGAACCCTACCAGGCTGTAAGCTGCTCTGTTGACCCCACTACTCTCACTGTGGCACTTTAAGTGGTAATCCTCAAGATCGTGTGTTATGGGAATTTCAATACAACTTGAGGTAAAGTGCTTATTTATGTGCTGTGGCTGTGTCTCCATTCAGTCAGTAAAACAGTGTGGGCACAGCTCTTACATTCTCCTTTGATTTTATGTAGCTATGGCATGTCTGTATGTGGCCTTTTTTTTCTTTGCTAGTTCAGACTTAATAGTGGCAGGATGCTTGTAATTACAAGAATCCTTTCAGCTTTTACTCAGCAAAGTGGAAATAGAAAACCGAAATTCTTGTGCTGCTGAGGACTTCACCGATGAAAAGATCTAGCACGCTAAATATAAGGAAACATATATATTCAATACCAAAAATCTAAGCTAGTAAAATGGTTTTGTTTAACAGCTATAACGCATCATCTCAGACATCGGTGCTGCTCACATATGCTTTTGTAGATTTTCTGTATTGGTGAAAGTGAAAGTTAAAAAACCTGGAGAGAGAGTCCGCACAGAATTTTTAGTCGTGCTAGTGGCGTGGCTCTAGAATCGGCAATGTCGGACTTTGTGTGTGCTGGTTGCTTTTTGCTCCAGCTTGAAATACAGCAACGGAATAATTTTCCATCTCATTTCGCAGAGAAGTTCAGGGTCTCCGGAGAATGAAACCTTTTGATAAAGGTGATCCCTTGACTTTTCCTCGAGTGCCACAATCAGTTTGCCATTTTTCAATAACTTAATTATTTGGTGGATTGTCGTGTAATTTGCTACATATAGCCAAGTTCAAAACCTTTTTCTCCAACACTGCCAGCAGGTCAAACTTTTTTCTTCTTCTTCAGTGAAACAGTTCAACATTTACTTGGATGGATTGGCAAATTTTGTACACATGTTCATCGATCGCAGACCTTGTGTCCTTATGACTTTGATGATTCTCTGACTTTTGCAGTAGCAATATCAGCACATTAACATTTTTGGTGCAGAGGAAATGGGATGCTTTGGTATAATGTTTTGAGCCTCAAACCTACTGTTGTCATCTGGGCAAAATTCAAGTATGTTTAATACTTTGGTTGATGATCAAGTTTCAGCAACATAATGATGTACTTGGTTGGTGCTGAATGGCAAATTTGAGCATTCTAATGGAGGAAACTAAGAGGGTAAACATTAAACGCTCCAAACGTCGACATGGTTGCATTATCATTATGAAGAACAGCCTCACAGGACTGTTAAGTCGTAATCTCATTGTCTTGTTGGAACATGGTTTATTTTCTCCTTTTCCTCAGTGATCCTCATAAAGGTGCCCTCTGGTGAAAAATCAATGTTTTTCTTTCTTTACCCATATTGTGTTTTTTTATATGTTGGAAGATATACACAAGACTGTGACTGAACATGTGTCCCTTAAATTGCAGTGTCCCAATGACGCCAGAGTTTTGTGCATAATAAACCTTATGAACCAATTCTGTCAACTTGCGAGGCGGGATTTTCCATTTCAGTGTTCTTCCTCAGAACTTGTTTTTGCGTCGAACATGTAGTGTGGCTGGATTATACGGAGATGGAGTTTGGAGATACAGTCAACACTGAAGAGGTCATCCAAGCTGTCAGGACAATATCACAGGAGCTGCAGCCTTTAGAGACGATATAAAGCTTTGTAATGCCCCTGCTGCAATAAGAATCTGCACTACTGAAAGTTTAGAAGCATGTAAATGTTTAAATCGCTGTATAGAGAAAGATTTACTGTCAGTCTGAGGAGAGGATGTCTGTATAGTTTATGTTAGACTTGTGAGTTAGTCACAGGTGAGCTGATGTGCTTAAGCTACAGGAAGTAGTGTCGGGATGGGTGGAGAAGGAGGCGATTACTTTATAGCTCTGCAAACTGTAGAGGAGGTAACGTTGTAGAGTTACATCTAAGGCATTTAAATTATTTTAAAGAAAAATACGTCTTAGTAATTGTGAATCCTGGAGATGGGTCTTTCGGGGCCTAATCAGTGACTGGAGAGGGACTTTATTATGTTAATCAGACTCTGTGTTACAATGGATCACCGTCATTATGTAGAGGATAGTCTTGCCATCTTCCCTGTTATTGATCCTTGTAGAGGGAGAGTACAGTAGAAACTTAGTCCCACTATAATGGGCACTCATAAAGATGATGAAATGTGTGAAACCTTTAGAATGATGCATGCAAAACCTGAGGTGGGAGGCAGGAGATAGAAATAAAAATAAATAAATAGGAACCCTCATGTTTTTTAGGAAATCGTTTTTTATTCGCAGCTGTTGTATTTTCAATGGGGCCAGCCAAAGCAACATAAAGCTTAAGCGGCAAGCCTTTACTGTTAAATCAATAAAACAGATAATGTTGACAAGCCTTTTTCATTGCTCTCCCTCATGCCCTCCTCTCTCCTCTTCTTCCTCCTCCATCCTGACAACACAGTCTGAAGTATCTCTACTGTTGCTGTTACATCTCTCAATACAGACCTGAGCAGGCCATTATGAGCAAGCGTGCAGCTTACCTGGCACAAGTGTGTGTCTGCTACAATACCTCCGAAACAGAAGCTTTTGAGTTTTACTTGTGTTGTATGAACTGAGAACAGATGATGCCCAGTTTGGGTTAAGGCAGCATCCAAGACATACCTGTGTCTTCATTAGGCTTCATTTGTTCGACTTCATCACTGATGTGTAGAAGTTATTTAAGCTGTTTAATGACAAAACAGAGCATGTTATCGGCTAGTATCCTGGAAAAAATTGTGAAGCACCTTGTTTGTGTCAGTCTTACACAACTGGAAAGACGTCTTATTTTCAAGTTCT